TCAGGAGACCCTGAGGGGGTGGCACCAGACCAACACCAAATCACCATCTTAGGCTGGGTCAGCTATATCCCTCCCTTCCAAACCCTGGTTCGGTCATCTAGCGGTGTTTTGTGGAGGCAACATCTTGTTCTTTTCAAACTAGGCTGTCCCCCCTGTACTTGCCAGGTCCGCAAGCTGATCCCCTCAGAGATCAGAGATATGAGCAGTGGCAATGGGAGGCCTATATGGTGAAGTAGAAAAGAGAGAGAGAGAGAGAGAGAGAGAGAGAGAGAGAGAGAGAGAGAGAAATGGTGCTCTCTCTCTCTCTGCCACTGTACAACACAAAGCCCTCCATATTAGTCAGTTGTTACTCAGATGCTTTTGAACATGAACTTAGTCCTGTTCCAGGTTCACCCACACGCAGTGCAACTGTCAGCTATTAAGGTGATTCAGGTCTCCTAGCCAAGGATCAGCTTAGACACCTGGCAGGTAAAATGCTACCTTTCCCAGTCTGGATAGTAGACTGGGAGAGATGGTAGATGGGGGAATGAGTTCAGATAGATGGCTAAACATGTCCAGTCTTTACAAAGTAAAAGTATGCGTTCATAAGCACTGTACTATTAGAATTCCATACTCAGATGGAATTTGCAAATTAATTATCAATAACTATCACTAGTGGCCTTTGGCTGGGTCTGCTAGATGTCCTCTTGGTATCCTGAAGCTACAATAGGACATAAATGGAGCCAGGTGGAAGAATTGGAATCACACGATCATATCTATAACACTGATGATTGAATTCAAGTTCTTCAGTGGAGTGGGCTTTAAAGCTAGCAGCGATCCAGGCTTACCAAATCGCCAAAGTGGTTCATGCCGAGCCAGTAGGTGTGTTTCCCCAGGTCCGCCTGGGTGTTATGGTCTTGGATCATCCGCAGATTCTCCTCCCACACAGCTCTTCGGAAGGCTTCTTCCTCCTGCTGGGAAGCCAAGACCAGAAGACCCCTTAGTCCCATCTGCCTAAACAAGTGCCAGTGATGAGGCCTATAACTAGCGTTCCTCTCCTCCTTAAAATGGTTCTCGGGCTAGGATTCAATTCTCTGGGAACACACCAAACTCCTTTGATTTCCAGCTAGCAAACATCTTTCCTTGCAAGGTGAGATAGCAGAAAGTAACCTTTTAAACATTTCTATTCTAGGTTGAAGCCAAGGTTTTTGTTCAGTTGTTAAGTCATGTCCGACTCTTCGTGACACCATGAACCATATTGCGCCAGGACTTCCTGTCCTTCACCGCCTCTCGGAGTTTGCTCAGTTTACAGAACTGGAATACCTTAGATGAAAGTAGGATTTTGTTCCTTTGGGACAGAGCCTACGGAAGACTCTAAGATCAGCAATAGTGACAGCCAGCTCAGCTCCTGTTGCTTCAGAATTGTTGAACTAAAATACAGCTATTTAATCTGGGTTCTACTGGAGCAAACTCACCTTGATGTATTCTTTACTGTGAGTGGCCTTCCAGTCTCTCCATGTCCCCTCCAGGCTTGGATCCAGCGCTGTGGAC